TCTCAGCAGTGGCTCTGGCCTGCTCAGCACTGGGGAGTGTAAGTAATCTTCCTGAGCTTATCCACAACCTTCACCTCTGTCAGCATGACCACTTTGCTCAGGAGCCCACTGAGTCATTATTTGGTCTTTCTTATAAAGAGGATTCACTTCTATCCATGCAATGTAATTTTCAATATCTTCCTTGCTAAAGTCCTCTTATTCTGAGGACTCTTACTGTGGGCATTTATGTGTGACACAAATTTTTTGACATTCTTCGACTATATGGGGATATCTGTCCACATCACTCTATGACAAATATCTCTTTCTAGAGTTTTGCATGTTAATTTTCTGAACTCCAGTATGATCGCTGGCTTACAGGCAATGAACAGTTAAATAGACATACGTCTATACAACTTATCATCTATTCATTTTTCTCCCAAGCAACATGGAGTAGAGGTACACTTCCCAAAGTTCTGCCACCTCTGTGTGTGTCCCTCAATGTTGTCCTTCTCTTGTGTCCTGAAAGGTGTTGTGATGCTACAGCTGTACAACAGCATGTGTGGTCCACATATTGTGTGGAACCATCTGTGCAACTGGTCCTCTCTCCCTATATCAACTGATTGTAGGGTACAGCTTATGAAGCCATAGGTATACACTGAGATGCAGAAGGCAATAGTAATTAGTAACATCTGTGACACTGAGGCCACTTCTTCGTGTATCACACTTGTAAACTCTGAAGCTATTCAAACCCAGGCACACAAACGCAATTTTCATTTAATGATGGAGTTATATACACATCAGAGTTTACGCTTAGTTGTATCAGATTCCACTCAGTCTACAGTGAGCATCTTAGGTTGCAGGAAACCGCGTGTCCTTTATTCATACTGATCAGTTTCCACTAAGAACCAGTAGTGGACAGGAAACTGCTGCTCCAAGAGAGCCATTGTCACCAGATGATGGCAGAACCTTGCTCCCAAATCCAAACATAAAACTGAACAATTTGTTTGCAATATGATGAAATAAATTATTATCTGTGTTCTGTTTTAGAGTGTCTATTTATAGAGTTCTAATGCCTGACATCCAGACTGACTATTTTAATTTCATTAGAAGTTCAAATTACTTGTTTATATATTAAGTCTTATGTTTCTAGATATTGTTGTGTGAAAGTAAGTTTTATACTTTTTAAAATAAAAATATCTTTAATTTTTCAAAAAAATGTAGGTCATCCTTAAGAAGTTAGGTATACTTGTAGAAAAATAACTCTATAGATGAAAATATTCAAATATTTGTATTGTTCATTTCTACCTCTAGGTGGTGCAGTACGTGTCTGTTGTGAAATACTTATTATATTCCCAACTGCAGTGAATGTAGTAGATCATGTTTTGTGAAAATTACTGATTCCTGTGTACTTGCTATTTTTGCTCATGGATCTGCCCAGTCCCACTTGGGAGATTGCTGGTATGTTGTGGTGCATACATTGTGTCAATTTCAGGAGTCCAGAAGCCTAACTAAGAGCTCAGCAGTTCTACATGCGGAGTGAAAAGGGCATGCCCTTACCACTTCAGGATGTTGATCATTGTGTCAATTTGAGAAGATTAAAAGTTCAGCTGAGTGATTTAGCACAAGGCCAGAGTCCTTACTTTGTTAACATTCTAAGCTTGAAGAGGAGAAGGGTGTGGAGATGGTGTGGGCATGGGTCAATAGCCAATATACACTATAAGTAAGGAAAAGAGGCTTGCTCCTTTCCCTTATTGCTCTTGCTGCTCTTGCTGTCATGTGCCACCTTGAATAGTTGCCCCTGTGCCCTGCCACCCTGCCTTGCAGCCAGCTGAGTATAGACTGAAACCTCCACAAACTGTAAGCTGAATAAACTTTTCCATGCTTAATTTTGGGCATTGGGTACTTTGTCTCAGCAATGAGAGAAAAAGA